CCTGCGTGCCTTTCGTTTGTTCGGGCAATACGTTATACAACCTAGGACGTCCTTTGATACTGTTCTTCTCAGGATAAGTTCAAATCACAAAAGAGTCGACTAACATAGTAAATATAGCTGCAGATATTAAATATATAAACAAACACTGCCGAAAACGACTAAAACTTCTACATTAGGTGGTGTACAGTCGAAATAATCCGTACGGTTACAAAAGAATCTCAGCTACTAACTTTTTATTTTGATACATTACTACTACAAATAATAAACAACAAAAACTTATATAAAGGAAGAACACCCCAGACGGGGTTTTTTGCTCAAGTCAGGACTACTTAAAGTAAAATATATATCTAGACCAATAAACATAAATATTAAGTAGCAAGGGACAGATATAATAAACAGAAGGAACTAATTAAACAAGAATATAATAATCATAGCAGTAAGGTAGACCTATTAATTGACGTCGCTACATACAAATCGACTTAATGTCAAAAAAAATTGAGATATGATCAACATACAATTTACCAAAGAAACTACATTTAGAATATCCCAACATTGACAAACGTTACTTCAACAACCACCGCGACTAAAGAAAACTAAAACATAATACTATCATAAATGACCGAAGTTTAAACTTCATCCACATCGATCGTAAGAAACTCGTAGTTAATTGAGGAGGTTTAAATATATACAAATAAATAATATATTATATAGTAAACTAAATACACAATAAAGTATATGAACACAAAAACACACAACCCTCATACTAAACTATATAAAAAGTAATAAAGTAAGTCTAAATAGATGAAGCATACTCTGTAATTACATAATAAAACAATACAGTCAGAACAGTAAATAAAAACCATGGAGAGAGACACAAAAACAAGAATTCTGGCGAGAGGTGGTTGAGTAAAGCGTCAATTTTAAGTAATTTAATGCCAACACGTGGACATATATAAATCAATAAATTCCGAAATGACTACACATGCGCCCATTCCAGAGTCTGATTACCAATACACAATTTCTATAGTTATAACCCTACAGGTTCACATTGTACCTACTTGCCATATGACGCTAATTTAGTCTTAGATAGAAGACGGTTCCCCACGGTTGGGAGTCTTAAGAGGACGGTGGGAGACGAGTGGGGTACTTACTAAACAGATCCTAGGCGGGGACCAAAGGGTACCTATCGGCCGACGACAAATCGCAGTCGCCCACACCCACGCCCCTCGATGCGATCAGCGTGTCCTTTTCTGTCTTCGCTTTCTTAGCTGTTGAAGCTGGTGTTGGGTAATCTATGGTAGGGCTAACCCATACAGTGGTGGGGCTCAAGTCAGTATTTGCAATGTAATTACATACAGGCTCCCCTTGACAGTGAAACGCCACGCGTGAGGTTTATATTATTTCCCTGTCTCAATCCAAATTGAACTGTATGAAATAAAAAGGCACATTTGTCTTGTAGTAAATAAAAAGGGCGACCTGGAGCCAATCCTGCAATTTCCCCACAGGTAACCCAACCCCTGCAGGGGGGTCTGGGGGGATTCTCCCCCAGGAGATTTTTTGAAATACTAACATCAAATATACATTCTGGTGCTCTCTTAAGAAGAAAAATAAATAAATATATATTACTACACAACGTATTTAAAAAAATGAATGTCATTTTAGTTTTTTGTTACTTTGTTCTGAAAGCTGAACCTGCTGCTCCTCACAGAGAGGAGAGGGAAGAGGCTGTGTGAATTACTTTACATTGTGGATAAGGGTGGATAGCCCCCATTGTTCTGTGTGTCAAAATGAAAGACAGCCCACACACCTATCAATCATCAAACCGTGGGGTCTTATAGTTGTACCGATGTATATAGAGATGTACTACAGCAAAAGTATTCTCCGTCGGGACTTCCTGCAACAACACCACGCCGTTATCGTGATTCTGATTGGCCAGAAGACATTATCAAAGATGTTCTATTGAGAAGACGATCACTACGTGACAAAAGTTTTCAAAACCGTTTCTAGTCTTCGGTATTTCCAGACAAGTGGCTACTGAAATCAATCTTACTAACTGCTGTCTGTGCAATTTACTCCGCGCGAGTTGGCAGACTTTATTTTGCTTACTTTAACATCGTTTTTCATGGTGGGGCTAAGCCATTTATTGGTATGGCTGTAGCCTACCCCAGCCATACCCTGACCGCAAATACCTCATTCCTTCTGTCTACTTGTATCCGAAATACTTCTCGTTTTGCGCTGTCCTCCCGTTCAAATGAAATCGCCGCCAATCATATTTCCAAGCTCGCGCCAGGGGGGGGGGGGTTACAAGGCTCGCGTCTTGTGCTGCATTCACTTGCACTCGGACATTAGAGATTTTCTCTCATAAATGTCCGATGAGCCACAACTTTTCTTTCAAAACAAAGCTGCCAAATGGGGTGGCAGCTGGGGTGGCAAGGCATTTTTCTGAGGTGGCAGCTGCCACCCCGTGCCACCCCGTAGAACCGCCACTGCCGCTGATACAGCCTCTAATTTAGGGGAAGTGAAAGAAAATGGGGGTTAAAAGCAGGAAGGTTGGGAGGAACAGCAACCAGAAGCAAAAGGGAAGAAGGAGCACTTACCAAGATACCTGTTAAATTGCCTGGAATGACCCCCTGTTAACAGCAACATCCAGCCAAACAGCTTTTGTTCCAAATGTGTAATTTACCAGTTACAGTTCCAGGCCCTTTACAGACCTCCTGTGGTTTATGGCTGCTGTGCTTTTTCCAGCTAAACCACACAACCACAAGGTAATTTGCTTGCAATGTGAAGCACAACCACCATTGACACCAAAATGGCTTTACAATCATAGTCCAGTGCGCCAGTTAAGACCTGCACCAGTAAAATTGTTATCTTTACTACATGGGGTTGATACATGGCTTTGATATGTGGAAATGCTTTTCATGTTGTGTTGTTTAAATGTACATTCCCTGGTCATGGTCTGTTATAAATTCCAAGGTTACCTCATGAAACCTCTGAAGGATCTTAATTCCCGGTGAAAACACTGGAAAGCCGTCCTTGTTTGTTGTCAAAAAGCTTTGAGGAGAAGAATAAATCAAGAATATGGTTGTACCAAGCTAGTACTAAATATTTGAAGCTTTACTCAGTCTGCTCATCTTGTTTATGTTTCTGCAAAAAACATCTTGACACCTGGGGAGAAGCACTGCAAGCTGTCTCTATTTAACTCTGGTTTGTGATTTGAATGCCAGGTTAGCTGAGCTCTCTTTGTGAAAGAGGTGGTGTTTCCTCCACAAGCGCCTAGTGGGAAGGACACATGTCTGGAGTTATTACTACTGCACTCATGCAATCTTTACATAAACATGTGAAAACACATATAACATAACTCAAATGCAATGACATTCAGTTGATCACCACTACCAAGGACATTACTTCGTATTGAAATGTGGTGGGGACTTTTTTAATGCTCTTCAATTTGCAATTTTCGGAAATATAATAGATATATCGATATGAGGTAGATGATTATGGTGATAATCATCCTGTCTCTACGCAAGCTATCATTATCAAAAAGAGACATTTAAAAAAATGTGTATTTAAAAAGACACATTCTTGCCATAACCTCAACAAACTACGATCTTAACTATAACCACATTTTTTTAACCTAATCAACATGTAACTGTACAACTTTGTGTACAAAATAAGATATGATTAAGCAAATACACATCTTTGTCAGATCTTAAGAGCAATGCATGGCTCTCAAATCTCAATAATTGTAAGATTGGGGGCTCGTCTTTAAACCGTTTTTTCCACCCCCACTGTAAGCCAATAATGAGAATAGACATGCTCTTAGTCAATATGTCTGCCTGCTCCACCACTGTTAAGAGCTGTCAACGAAAAAGAAAGGAAAAGAAGAGCAATTTGACCAACTTTTCCACTTCAGCTATCATCCAACTTGCCTTTAAGTTTACTTTTTTTAAAAAAAATCAAAATCAAGTTCATACAAATACACTTTTGATTAAAGTTTGAAATCGTTATGCACTGTGGAGGAAAAAACATAAACTAAATTGGCTTTTTTCTACATTGTGGGCTTGTACATGGATTGCCAACAGTCTTTCATCACAGGATATTGTGTGTTGTGATTATAGTAATTATCTACATATAACACAATATGTATAACAGGCCTTTTTTCTGTATTTGCATGTGTTGGTACAAAGTGCAATATAGAAATTACCTGTAATATAATCTAATTAAATGTTTTGAAACAAGAATTAAATTATCCCCAA